TTTTTTTTTTTTTTTTTTTTTTGGGGGGGGTGGAAATCCAGACAGAGATCTGCGATTCCAGTTACTTACTAGAACCACCCTTCATTTATTAACTTACTACAAAGGTCTGAGGAAGAGTTCGGAATCATCCATCCAACGGGCGGTCTGCCAATTCCCTACAGAGAAGATCCTTTTAATGATCTAACTTCTAGGTTGCATACATCGTGAGAGATGGAGAGAAAAGATCAACCTCTCACCACAGTTTTTCCAACTTTAGTTTTTCATTTCTAATTTCTAAAGCAAACATCTCTTTCAGATTGATCACTTTGAATCGAATTGTTTTTAAAGCTTCATTATGGTGTTTTCTTTCAGAGCATTTTGATAGGTTCTCTTTACAGGATATATGTTTCAATTCAAATGCTTTTATTACTCCTAATAACTTTTATCATTGTTTTATTGGTTTTATTGCTTTTTCTTTCACTCTCTTGTGGAGTTCAGCTTTAATCTCTTTCATTTCTTCAATGAAAAGTTTTGTCCCTAATAAGAAAAAATAGAAAAAATTATAGTAATCAGAGTATAAGTTTCAACGTATTGGAAGTAAAATGTAAATGACTCTCTCTTTGTGTGCCTACATTCTATCTAATTCAACATAACCAAACACTTTCTTTCTTTCTTTCTTTCTTTCTTACGCTACAAATCTGCAAGACCCCCACACAATTGTGTGGGGAAAATCAAATCGATCTGCATCAAATAAGGAGTTTGTCACTGTTGTGACAGACACAATTCTCTTCTCCTGCAAAGAATTCCATCACTATCAAAGTGTTTATCCAACATATTTCCCTCACAAAAACACTCCAGATTCCAGCCATACCATCTGGTATGGTAGCTGCCCGAAATAGATTCAACTACATCCAATCAAGAATTCTTAACCTAGTTCTTTTCACCAAAAAAAAAAAACATGCAATGCAAATTCGCTATCAACCACATCCAATCAAGAAATCAATCATTTTACAATACCGATCAGCAAAGTAAAACTTACTCAATGTCCTTCATCGGAGCAACACATTTTTCCCCTCTTGCAAGAAGCAGATAATGATTCCCCAACGTATCAGAACAGAAAACTGAGACGTAAATTGTAATTCAATATAGCGTTTGTGTATTCGGTATCTATCAAGTCTTAGACATTAATACATGGGAAAGTACGAATCGGTTCTCGATTTCAAAAATTACAATCGCTGTACAAACTTTTGTATACCTTTACTTCGGATAGATCGTTACAGTCTAGAAATGAGGCAGGAAGTTATGGATGATCAATGTCATGTCGCATCTGGGAGACAACGGCGACGCGGCGATGTTCGGCGTACAAATTGATGATGAATTCAAACTGTGTAGATCATATTGTAGCATGTGAGCTTGTTGCTGCAGAGTACAGGTATCTTGAAATGAATCGAATCAAATTTGAACCAATATGGTGTATGATTTTGCTACCTAGCTCGAGATTTAGCTGTTCGGATTTGGATTATACGATAATTTGTATACCTAATAGATATTGGATAATACCATTTATTATTACAATTTGTGTCGTTTATGATTTTTTGAGATGAAATTTTTTTAGATTAAAGGAGTATTTATGGGAGAGATTGGACGACATATTTTTAAAATATCTAAATATGTGTTTTTAAAGTAATTTAAATCATTTTTCTAAATTTTTTTGATAATATTTATTCTTAAAATATTTAAATTGTTTTTTTTTAAATATATAGATAATGAATTTATATAATTATTTTCTTTAAAAGGAGTGGAAATCTATTATTTCTATAAAAAAATTATTATTATTTTTGTTTTTCGATAATATTTATTTTTAAAGTATAATATGTTTACTAATTATTGTAATAATTATTTACAATTAAAATTTATGTAGTTTTATTAAAATTATTTATTTATGTTATTATTAAATAACAGTAAGAATCTAATGCATATTATTATATTTAAAAATGAAATAAAATTTAATTAGTTAAAATTATTTTAATGATTTATCTTAATAAAAGTTTAAGCAACAGTAATTCCAAAATTGTTAGAACTAATAACTTAATAAAAATATAATTTATTTATATGAAATTTTAATAGATTTTTATATAACACAAAATACAATTTTTTTTCCAATATTCTATTTTAATTATCTTATTTTCAAATATAAAAATGGAAAATAATGGAGAGACCACCATTGACGCGTTAAAATCCCATTTTGAAAAAAATAAAAAATAAAAAATAAATTGGTCAACCTTAATTTTTTAAATTTAAAATTTAAAATAGAAAATAAAAAATAAAATAGTTTAATTATTTAATTCTCATCCTCCACCGTCTTTTTAGAAATTAAATATTAAGAATAGAAAACAAAAAATAAAATAAATGGAATATATATAGATAAAAAAAATTAATGTTTGAAAGTACTAAAATTAAAAAAAAAAAAAAAAAAAACGATGTCCTTGAATTTGAGGTAAATTACTGTGAGATCTCATATTAGTTAGAGACGATAACGAAACATTCTGATGTGAAAATCTCTCTCTAGTAGACGCGTTTTAAAACTATGAGGCTGATGACGATATGTAACGGGTCAAAACGGACAATATTTGCTAGCGGTGGGGTTGGGCTGTTACAAATGGTATCATAGTCAGACACGGGAGAGGGAGAATGGTGACATTGAGGATGTTGAGTCTTTAAGGGGTGGATTGTGAGATCCCACATCGGTTGGAAAAAGTGGAATGAAATATTCTTTATATGGAAATCTCTCCCTAATAGAAGCGTTTTAAAATCGTGAGGCTGATGGAAATATGTAAGAGGTTAAAGTGGATATTATCTGCTAATAGTGGGTTTGGACTGTTACAGTCATAATTGTGTCAAAATCACGAAATTGCACGGTTTTAAAAGTACAATTATAGCAATATAATGTAATATGCGTGACGTATAGACAAATGTATAATATTTAACGATTTGAACTATGTCTAAGTCAACAAAAATTTGAAAAATTTTAATATAAGATTTGACCATAGCTAAAAAAACAAAACTTATAAATGTTACATTATCTTGAAATTATATTATAAAGTATAAAGTTGAATAATCAAGTTATATGTTTATTTAATAATGAAGGCATATGATTGGTTCACATTCATGATTCAATGTATATGGTTAACATTGCCATAAATACTGAAATAGTTTTAAAATATTCCCATTAACTAATAATTATTAGTATTAAAAATAATTATTTATTCATAGCTTAGCTAATGCATATATCATAATTTTCTCCATCCTTCGAAGTTTGGATTTTTTAAAATAAAAAATATATATAATCATGCCATGTGCAATAATCTACCCTTGCAAAAAAAAAAAAAAAAAAAAAAAAAAAAAAAAAAAAAAAAAAAAAAAAAAAAAAA